CCCTAGTTCATTTTAAGGTAGCACTGTTTCAAACAGGGCTAAATTAAAGCTCAGTAGGGAAATTTGCGTTCCCCACCAGCAGCGTCATCAATGATCAATTAATGTGCAATACGTCAGTGTGCTTTAGAAAATGCTGCTAGTACCAAAGACAGAATTTCCATATGCCCCCTTAAAAATCTGATCCGAAGTCACTGAAAAGAACAAATCTCCCTCCCCTCCCCCAAATTTCTCACCATTTTAAACCAGAGGGAGCGACTCTTGCATTTACACTACCCACCATCCCTGCTCTCCGAATGCCGTTACTGGGACAGCTGAATACAACGCATCTATAGGCCAGGGCAAAGTCGCTATCACAAAGCCAGAGAACCACACCCCCAGTGACCAGATTGCTTGTTTTCTCTGTATCTAAGTTAGATGACTCTTAGGTGCTCCATCCCTCTTTGGCCAGCTAATTCCTTACCTCAGAAGTCTCCTAGTCAATTACTGATTTCCTGGAACTTTGTCCTGGGAGCCCTGAGTCATCTACAGCTGCTGGTCAATACATTCCAGTTCTGAAATTATTTGGAAGACAGCAGGGGACCATACCCCAGAGTCAAAATCATGGCTCCTTGCGTTAATGTTCAGCATTAGCAAGAGGGCGAGGCAGCTCTGCAGAAACCCAATATTTAGCCTGACATAATGTTCAGCATTAGCAAGAGGGCGAGGCAGCTCTGCAGAAAGCTGTTTGTTCTACTAGTCTCCCTAACCCAATATTTAGCCTGACATACCTGAGAGGCTCATCTGTTTCTTGTTATAGTGCATGTACCCTCAAATCAAATGCTGAGGGTATTTGCCACACTGAAAGCTGCCAGATACCTGAAAACCTAAACCAATGATACAGAATAACCATGTGCTAATAAGCGATTTTTGCTGAAAAAATTTCTGTGTTTGTGCCTTTCTCCTTCATCTGTTCTCTTCATATCATGGAGGGTAATTTTTTTTTCAAAAATTCCTAACAGATTTAGAAGATAAAATCTAATGTTCAAGACTGACACAAACACTAGTCAGTTAGGAGACCTAGATTTGCCTGAGTCCCATTGATTTTCAGTGAGATTTAGGCTTGTGAAACCCAGGTCTTCAAAGGTATTCAGGTGCCTAATTTCTTGGGAGTCAGGGTCCTGAACCCCTTTGAAAGCCTTTCCCTTGAAACCTAATTTTTCTGTGCGCTCTTATTTTGCTGAAGGCTGGGTTTCACCTTTCGGGATGTGTTCTTCTCGCATTGTACCTGGGGAACTCCTTCCTGTTCTAGTTTTACTGGCAGTGGTACATGTGCATTTTGAAAGAAGAAGAACGCCCTTTGGCGCCAAATCCACTGCAGATGTGTGGGAGAAACGAAGGGCTAGCCGCTAACTAAAGTCAGTAGCTATCTGTGGTGGGAAGTGCAGCAGCCGGAGCTAAGTGCTCTGTGAACCCCACTTAGTACATTTCCCCAGCCTTATTGTGCAATCCAGCAGCTGTTTCATGCATCCCTAGAGGGAGAGGGAATGAACGCATAAGTTAGGAACCCCCACTCCAGTGGCTCATCTATTTATGTCACGTTATATGTTGATTTATTTCATTCCTTAACTTGGCCTGTTCTCCTTATGCCCAGTCTGCCCCCTGCTGGTGCAAATGTGAGTTTTTTTCCAGTGGAGTCTGGTCCCGAAGGCACAAGGCTTAAGGGCCCACAGGAAAGTTCTTGGAGAATCTCGATTCAACAGTGCAAACTTACAGCATCTCTCCCGCTTCTCCTAATGGAAGAGCCCCCCCCCCATACACCGCACCCTTCTTCTGTCTCAAAGACGGCTCCTCTGGGGCAGATTTCTCATCCCTCTTGTGCCTACACCCGAGAAAACGCAGGGGGAAGCAAGGAGAGACAAGGGTTCATGGTTCATTCATCCTGATCTGAGGGAGGATTTCTCTTTAAAATCCTCTCTCTGCCTTAACATTTGCTTCTTTTCTGCTGCTTGCATCTGGGACTGAAATAGAGCAGTTCGCCAGAGGAAAAAGAGTATTTGCTGAAGAGATGAGGAAACTCCCTCAGGAATCAATGACTCTTTATATATTTAGTAACCTACGCTACCAGGTCTCCTCCACCCATGCTACCCGGCTTCTTAATATAGAACTCAGATGTTGAAATGTGGAAAAACGGATGGGCGTGTGGGACACCAAGGCTTGAAGAGAATTCAGATTCACAAGAGAAAACTGGCACAGACGCCACCAGGGAGGCAAACTGCGCGGCACGCTTAACTGAGAGGCAGAGGGAAGGATTGTAAGCCAGGTGTATAGTTCAAACTGCATATGACCGGGAAAATTTCACAGAATGAAATCCCTGTCTGACAAGCAAGAGGAAAATGGTAAATTTATGCAACTATTTGGGGCTTCCATTAAGGGAATCACACAGGTCACAACCAAAAACCTGAATTATAAGAGCAAAATCCCTAGGGCAAAGTAAGAGGTACGTTACTGGTGTTTTTCATAAACAACAAGCAGTCCTGTAGCACCTCAGAGACTAACAAAAATGTATAAATAGTATCATGCGCTTTCGTGGGCAAAACCCACTTCCTCAGATGAGAGTGGAGAGAGAAAAGGGGGAACCGCCCAATTTATAACCAAAAAAAGAAGGTTTTTAATGTGTCAGGTGGGAATATGTATCTAAAGGACCAATTCGGATTACCCTGAATGAAGCCAGTGAAAGAATCGGTCGCGGGATCAGAGCCCTCGTTTTCAGCCTTAAAATTCTCATCCCTCCAAAGCCATGGATCCACAGGGCAGAACCAGGGGGAGAACATGATGTGAGGGTCGGTCTGGTTCATGAATGCAGGGAGTCACCCAGCTGTGCTCCTTATGGGGCACTTTGCCGGTATTTCCATTGGATTGTGAAGAAACAGTGGGAAAGAGGGGGGAAAGTCTGTGTTTGCCAGGCTGCCTTGCCCCCAGGGATGGGTGGCAGTACCATCTCAGCAGGAGCTGGCCAAGAAGGCAGGATCAAAACTGTTAGTGGGCTTGACTGGTACCTAGAAGGCCCAGAGTCAATTCCCTGCTCTGCTCCTGGCTTCCTGGCCGACCTTGGGAAAGTCATTTACCCTCTCTGTGCCTTGGTTCCCTGCCCATAAAACGGAGACCACTGCACAGCCCTACATCATAAGCATGTTGGAAGGTGCTGTGAGGAGCGCAGGGGGGGGGGGGTGGAGGGGCTAGCTGAAATGCCTGCTCCAAGGCAGAAGCAAATAATGGAATTAAACTAGCAAATTGGGGGGGGTGGGTGGTAAAGACGTGGGATTAAACCCAGCCCCGGAGATCCTGCACTAAGCAGCCCAGGGAGCCACAAATGAGCAGCGAGCGCTTCCTGTCCCAGCTGCGTCCCCCTGGAGCGAAGCTGCCTTTAGCCAGCCGGGCTGGGCCAGGAGTTGTGTTGGCCCAGAAGGATGGTCAGGAAGCAGTTGGGGCCAGGAACATTTTTCTCACCAAAGGCTCTGGTCAGGAGGGATGTGCTTCTGCAGCCAACGTGCAGGGAATTAGTCGGAGCCGAAATCCCACCCGAGAAGACCCCCGGCTACGTTTTCGGTGGCCCCAGGTGGCAATAAAATTGGTGGAGTTCCCTGGTGGGGACAAGTCTGCCTCTCCCTTTGGCAAGGGTGCATACAAAGCTGTTCCCCCCCACACACACCCCGAATAAAGCCATCGTCTTCTGCCTCCTCTCCTTTGTGAGCATTCCCAGAGATGCCACTCACCCGAGGGGCAGAATCAGCCTTGTTGGGCCACTGGGTCCCCCTCCCACCCCCCTTGTGCTGAGTGAGGGGCAGTGGGGGGGTACAGACGCCTGTGAGCAGATGGGGCAGACCAGAGAGTGGCGGGGGTGGGGCAGATGGGGGAGGGGCTGTGGCCCCACCAGCGCCCACTGTGCGGCGAGCAGAGCTCCACTCTCCTTTCCTTTCCCTTCTGGGGGGGTGAAAGTGATGTGGAAGGAAAGGAGTTGGGGCTATGTCCTCTGCAGCCCCAGTGTGCCCGGCCGTGGGGGCTGGCGTACAGGCAGCCGCAGTAAAACGCCCAGGCAAAAGCACTCCCGCTTCAGCGGT